GCTTTTTGTAGCAAGAGCCTTCAAACAGATTTTGCAGTGAGGTGTTTGTTGCTTCAAGTCCGAGGTTGCAAAACCTAACCAGTTCCAGAAAACTGAAGAAACACTGCCTTTTTTGAGAAGCAGATCCTCTTTGCTAGCTGCCATTTTGTCATGTCGTGTACCAAGTGTCTGGAGGGACAGGTGGGGTGACCTCTGAACTACAGAAGTCCCAAAGAGTGCACTGGTGGGGGAAAAATCTCAATTTTCCCAAAATTAAATCTTAATAAATGGCGATAGTTAATCGATTAAATCGATTTATCAACCAGCCCTAGTTTCGAGACATTCTGGAGACTCACTTGAAAATTTTGAACACATCAGTCACAGTCCAGCAAGATACCGACTACAGCTGATGTTTCTCCAAATACAAACAACTGAAGAGAAATGCTTGGACATCGATTCCTTTCACCACCCAGTGTGCTGATTAAAAGAAGTTTAGGTGTCCAAAATGAATTTATTGTGGTTATAGACAACTAAAAATCAGCAGACAAACACGAGCTGCAGAAAATTAACTTCCTCATTACACAGAGACCTTTGCTGCATTTCTTGCCAATGCCACGTCTCTACAATCCCATTTTCCAGGGAGCGATCCAGCCAATCATGAAATGATGAAAAGTGTCACATCTTATTTGTTAATAAAAATTCATCGTGTGTGCGTTCACATGCCTGTGAATTATAACGGGCCGCTATTCCGTGACGTTATACGATGTGAGCGGACAGCTGTGACAGTTGGGAGAGCAAGCAGCTCCCACAATGTGCATGAGGACAGAAGTGTGTGTGTGTGTGTGTGTGTGTGTGTGTGTGTGTGTGTGTGTGTGGTACTCGTGGACTCAACGTGGCTGCCAGAGCCACTCGCCATCAAAAATGGCTGCTGTGGCTCCAAATTAACACTGCATGCTTGTCTGAACACACAGACATATATACAGGTTACCTCATTATGACTTCAAGTCAAGAGTAAGACTCACAAAACAAAAGAAATCCAGGGGCTATAACGCAGCACAACTGAGGATCACAGGACTTGGGTCTAACTGACGCTCTTTATTAGCCATTTTGTGATTCATTCGTATGTAGTTGGATTTTGAGATTTAATGCCCTTTATCMATTTTTTTCTTTAAAAAAGACAGGAAGAAGTAGCCGAAATGCACGGCATGTTGTGTTTTTCCCTCTTCGAGTCGACAGATAAAGTGCAGATCTTAGGCTGAAGTACATCACTGGGATTCAGCCCGGGGGAGATTGGTGAACTGGACGCTCATATAATAACATTGTTTTCTGCCTGTCTCTTGTTTGTGCGGTCTATAAATACAGTATGTCTGTATTCTAATAAATACCGACARCGGGAGAACAGCAGACAAGAACATGAAAAGAAGATTAATAAAAAAAATGTTAATATAAAGTCAGACAGTAAAGATATTACTTGAGCACTCAAGACACAATTTGTTTATTGCTTCCACAGATGGGCTGATATAGATGTATATAATATATACCGTAAGTTAACATGGTCTCACAAGTTTAAAGATCAAACTTTTGGTGTGTTTTTGTAAAAAAAAATAAAATAAAACTTTAATGTGTGATTCATACCTAACAATAACTAACATTAAAAAATGCTTACATACTGCACATTAGTGACTCACCTCCATTAAAGATGCTACCTTATTATCCTAACTTAACTTGTGCTAATTTATTGGCCTAACTTTGGTTGTGCTAACATTTTATGCTAACTGTGCTTTCTCCTTTGCCTTGCGTTGCCGGTGCTAATGTTTTATGATGCACTTTCATCTTGTGTTAACATTGTTTGTGCTGACATTTTCTGCTAACTCTGTGCCCTTTACTTTTCCTAAAATTGTAATGATGCTACTTTATTGTGCAATCTTAGCTTGAGCTAATTTCTTAGGCTAACTTAAATTGTGCTAACATTTTATGTTAACTCTGTGCCGTCATCTCATGCTAACTTTGCTTGTGCTAACATTTTATCTTACTGTGCTTTTTTTTGGCCAAACACTGTTTGTGCTAATATTTTATTCAGTTTTTTTCTTCTTGCACTAACATTACTTGTGCTAACAATTTATGCCAACTCTGTGCTATCGTTTTGTCCTAACATTGCAAAGATGCTACCTTCATGTTTTAACTTAACTTGCTAATATTTGATTGATTAATTAATTGACAATACTTTATTGATCCTAATGGGAACATTGTTTAATGCTAACTGTGCTTTCTTCATGTCTTATGTTGCTTGTGCAAACATACTATCTTAGTTTGCCTATCTTATTGTACCAACTATGGCTGTGCTAACATTTTAAGCTAATTG